GAATCAAAACGCAGAACGCGTTAAGCGGCGAAAACGCCGTACGAATTGCGAAGTTTGTGTCTGCAAACGTTCGCGGATAATCACGGTTTAAAAGCAGTCAATCGACATTTGCTGGAATACAAAAAACTAGCTATAAGTCACGACAGTAACACAGATCATGTATATAATCGGCTAGGCTGAAATTCATTTGCCAGTAGCACTAACAAACTCATTAGTGCGTCATCGATGGCAAATGATTAAAGAAGAACGACAAGCGACAGGAATACATCGTTAGCCTTAAGTGTTAGTACAAGTGATCAGGGGACACCGATCAGAGATTGTAACGAACAGTTGAGAGATTCTGCATCTTTTAGCTTTACCACGATTATTTTTAGTAGTCTTCGCTTTGTATGTGAAGAATGACCAGTTAATTAATCAAGTTAGAATTGAGAACAGTTTTAAAGGGTATAGTCAGTTGAAAAGTTGTCGTGATCTGTTGAGAGCTTACACGGTACGGTAGATTACACCATGTCACATCTTGCCGTCTATCGCAGTTGTTCTACGCCAATGAAGTTAAGCTGTGTCCAACGTACGGAACTCTGTGTCCGCATTGTTTTGGTCATGGTCTAGAATCAAACCTTGCAGCACCATTTTCTCCAAACCATGAACTAATTAATAAAGCTTCCGATTTCATATATTTTTCAGTAGCGTTGAGTGTTAAATTGCTTTGTGACTGAATAAGTGGTTTCCGCGACTAATAACGAGAAAAAAGCCCAGCTATCACCAGCGGAGGTCGCATGGTAGCGGCGATGATTAGTCACAGACAGTAGCTCCTGCCAATCTTTGTCCTTTCAAAGTTTTTATTGCAGCTGTTTTGACTCGCATAAATTTGAGGGATTTTGATGTTGTAAGTTATTCATGGCAAGTGTGGACGACTTTGTGTGTGTGTGTGTGTGTGTGTGTGTGTGTGTGTGTGTGTGTGTGTGTGTGTGTGTGTGTGAAGGCAGATTTGTGCAACCTTCCACACTTGTATTCTAGCTGAGCCGCGAACTCGTCGTTGTGTTTCTTGCTCTGGCACATAAAATTTTGTGCTACAGTTTTGCAGCAATCCTTCGATCGTCCTTGCCGTATAGAACTTTTCGAACATTGATCCGAAAGT